AAAAAAAAAATAAGTTTCTATTACAAAATACTTTGCGAAAAAAATAGTAATAAAAATTTATTTTGCAGCACATCGTCACAAGTGAGAGAAAACGAAAGTGAAAATATGAAGTGAAATAATCTTCTCATCAGTACGCATAACACATAATATAGAGACACAACCGTCGGTGTATATTACAGTCGCAATACATTACTCTATGCCCACATATTTTGTATGAAAAACGTGCAACAAGTCAAAATATGTTTATAAATATTAATTTAACATTTTTTTGCGAAAAAAATAAATAAACTAAGGCTGAGGCTGTAAAGTGCACAAAGCGCTTAATCACTTTCCGATTACCGTAAATTCTGCTAATCAATTCAGCATTTCCAACAGAATACGTAATGATTTTCAAGTCATTTTTATTTTTCAAAATTAGCTGTCATAAAAATGACTTTTTGCCGTCCAGACTTGAGAAAAAAAAATAAATAAAGTTTTAATCATGCGAACTTCCGTTCATTTCTAATCAAAGTCAATTTTACTTCTCCATCTCATATCATTATCTATCACATAATCTACATACAAAATGATGTCTATCGGTCGGTGTGGTCCATTTTAAATGACTTGTGAGATTTTTTGCGGCTACTTCTATTCGGTAGCGGCTTTTAACTTAGCTGATAAATTGACATAAAGCGGAAATGTTTGTTAAATAACATTTATTTATCTTACTATCTACATTATGTACAGCATAGACATGTCACATGTATGTTGTCGATTTCAATTTCATAGATCTATCATTGTCTATCACGGCTACTGGTCAGTTTGCTGAATTTAATGATTATTTGCGGATTGATTTGAAGAGGAAGGGAAGAAGAAGACAATAAATTAGACGAGGTAATTAATTTGGAAATTTATTTGCCTTCGAGGCTGATTAAGCGTCACTTGAAAATTTGCTACTTTTATTTTTAATCTGTTTTTTTCAAATTAGTAAGCGACATTTGTTATGTTGAGGACTGCAGATTAATTTTTATCGAACTAGTGAGTTAAGTGATAGTTGTGAGCTGTAAATTGGGAATGTTATTGTCGAATGGAAATCGATAGAGTCAGTCTTTGATCTTTAGGTCCAAAGTGTAATTTTATTTTGCAAATAAATTGGCCTCAAAAGTCGGTGGCATGGAGGAGAGGGCCTTACCTTGAGCAATATAAACAGAAAAATCTGCTTAACCTGCCAAATTACAACAATATTCAACAATACTAAAATTTTACAAAACAAACGAGACACTTCTCAGCTGTCATATTAACTTATCTATAATGCGACACTAAAATATATGTAGTGACAGGCCATTATATAGTCTATCAGAAAACATGTTGAAAAGGGAATTTATTTCACATCCCACGCACATGATTTGTGTAGAAATGTAGATAGGACAGCAGATAATTTGTAACTGACATTCATTCATTAATTCATACTAAGTGATTGAGATTATTTTGCAAAATATTTAATATTTGCTTGTTATAAACATCAAAGTATTAGCAAACAATGTAAAGTCCAAAACTTTAATGTACACAACATGATTAATCAAAAATTAAATTGATGAAACTAGGCCAAAAATTAAAATTTGATCATAGTCTTGAGATAAAATTCCTAAAGCGCACCTCGCAGAAAAAAATAATTTGATGAAGTTTTTGTTTCGTCATAATCAGTGACTTTATGTTTTTCAATTGCTTTCAACTTAGCCATTATTATGGGAATACAAAATGTTGAGTTTCTGACTTTCAAAAGTTCTGACAGCCCTTAACTATCATACTTATTAATAACTTAATTATAATTTACACTATATGCTCTAAAATTGATTCATTAATTATAAATAATTTATTTCCGAACTTCCTGTGACAGTCATAAAATATTCAAAGACTTTATGACCCCATCCATCCATCTACGTTACTATCTATTCCATAAATATTTATTTATTTATTTTTTTATTTATTTTATACATATACAGTGGGGGAAATAATTATAGGCGAATTGATATTTTCAAAATTCTCGAAAATATAAACATTTTCAGAAAATATGTTCTATGTGAAATTTGTGCAGCTTAATATGACAAATATCCCAGCGAAAAAATTTTTTTAATTATATTAACTAGAAAAAAAATAACGGCCATTTTTTGAAAAATATTCGTTTCGCAAGTGGAAATAATTATAGGCGAATTTTGAAAAAAATTGTAGAATTTTACTTTAAACTTAAAATTTACTTGAATTTTCAATTGATTAAGTTATTTAAGCATTGTATTAATCTAATTTGACAATATACGCACAATATTTAATGATTTAAATATATAAAATTTGGTCTCGAAATTAGGAAGGAATAAGATTGCAAAAATCAATGTTTTACGTCAATTTGGCAACGATAACTCCTCGATTGCATATGAAATAATTAGATTTTATTGCAATTAACATAAACACAATAAAATTTTGGTGAAAACATAGTCAGAAAAAGTAAAAATAAAGAAAAATTTTAATCACATGGCCAATACAAAATGAGAAATTTTTAAAATTTTCACTCAAATGAAAGTTTTGGCTACAAACTAAGGATGATTTCTACTTGTTTTTATCATATCTATGTTTTAAAGAAGATATTAAAAAGATTGAACAAGATATATTTGCAAAAATTGTAAAAACTTTGGTCAACTGGAACACATGACCTTGCAAAATCATAATTTGCTAAAAAAAGTTATAGTATCCGCAAGTAAATGATGAAAAGAGACATTTAATTATTAAAATAGACAAATTATGTAATAACTGATAGTTTTGAGTGTTATTAGGATCATTTTAACAAGAATTTAAAAGCTTGCATTAAACGAGAATTTTATAATCATGCGCTTATTCGTAAATTGCGTTTTTTTGCAAATATATCTTGTTCAATCTTTTTAATATCTTCTTTAAAACATAGATATGATAAAAACAAGTAGAAATCATCCTTAGTTTGTAGCCAAAACTTTCATTTGAGTGAAAATTTTAAAAATTTCTCATTTTGTATTGGCCATGTGATTAAAATTTTTCTTTATTTTTACTTTTTCTGACTATGTTTTCACCAAAATTTTATTGTGTTTATGTTAATTGCAATAAAATCTAATTATTTCATATGCAATCGAGGAGTTATCGTTGCCAAATTGACGTAAAACATTGATTTTTGCAATCTTATTCCTTCCTAATTTCGAGACCAAATTTTATATATTTAAATCAGTAATTATTGTGCGTATAATGTCAAATTAGATTAATACAATGCTTAAATAACTTAATCAATTGAAAATTCAAGTAAATTTTAAGTTTAAAGTAAAATTCTACAATTTTTTTCAAAATTCGCCTATAATTATTTCCACTTGCGAAACGAATATTTTTCAAAAAATGGCCGTTATTTTTTTTCTAGTTAATATAATTAAAAAATTTTTTTCGCTGGGATATTTGTCATATTAAGCTGCACAAATTTCACATAGAACATATTTTCTGAAAATGTTTATATTTTCGAGAATTTTGAAAATATCAATTCGCCTATAATTATTTCCCCCACTGTATCTATCATTGTCAGCTACCGGTCAATTCACCATAACGCATGCGAACTGATGAATAGACACGAGACGAAACAATTAAAAAACCTTCATTATAAAAAATAGAAATATTGAAATGAAGTCATGCGGTGGATACTTTTTATTGGTTTTTTTTGTGTTTTACTTTGGTTTTATTTTGTGAATTAAGACTTTAATGGGAATCGAACATACGTATTAGCAAAGCGAAATTGAGAGATTCCTGGATTGATGCTTAATCACTTGACTACAGATTCTATTGTTTCGTAATGTCAGAGGCCTCTCACTTGCTTACATGTGGCTTGATGCTCTAGATTCTAAATGGATTTCCGAATATCTAGGAATCAGACGCATGAACAGGAAGAGGAAGCTTCAGAAAGTACCAAATAAATAATATTTACGAATATTTCCATCCCATGACTACATTATCAGATACTCTTGTATTTTTATAAGCAACAAATGTGTTTATTGCTGTACTTTTCATCATATTCCATAGCTACTGCATGCTGCTATATAAAAAAATTGCTGACTCGCATGCTGATGATGATTCAGAAAGTATATAAAAATTGTTATTAAATTACAATTAAAAAGGCACAAAAGTGAAATAGAAAAAGAAGAAGAAACATCGACGGCAATTGCATAATATTTAATAAGTATATGCAGTGTAAAATAATAATTTTTATGGCAGATGAACATTTGCATGTACTGCATACCACGCGCCTTTCGAACGAAACGAGACTTAGATAACAAACCAGATACAAAAATATTAACATGGAAGTTGTGAGTTAATTAATGAAAAAATAAAAGAAATGCAACAAATGCATACAAAAAATAATATTTGGAGCATTAAGTCAGTCAGACAACAGTTTAGTGAGCGTAAATAAATTTTTATTATGAAATATTCGATGATTTATGAATTAAAAAGTCTAAACATCAACAAAAAAATATCATTTTATTCGTGCAATGTGGATAAATAAGGTGTAGAAATTTACGATGATGAGGTGTTATGTTCATACTTAATGTACGAGAAAGACATTAAGAAATTGCATGTCAGTGCTGCAAAAAATATATTTTTACTTAACCCAATTTCTTTGTGTATTTGAATTGTATAATTGTATGATTGATTTCGTACTGTGGGAAATTTAATTATGCTGAGAGGATGGCTCTAAGCTTTTACAAAAATTGATGCAAGAGACATGACGCTAATGTAGCAATGAGGTCTGAGTTTAAGAAATTTATCATCGCTGCTCGTGGCGATTAGTGTTCAAATTTACCTTTTTATTGATTTTTGCTAGCATGGTCCTGAACTTAGAAAATTTCTCTATATTTCTTAGCCTTAAATTGATCAATCAATTGTGGATCTATACTATTGACATACTGACTTGCTCTGTCATATTTGTGATCTTCATAGTCACCGTCACTTATCGATGGATGTACTTAAGCGTACGTTTTCAACCGATTTTTTATCAAAAAAGTAACATGTTCTGCAATAAATCCAAAAACTGAAACCAAACAAGCACAAAGCCAAATATTAAATCCAAAAGCAAGATCAGCAAGATTAAGAACTTTTGGATCTTCAATTATTTTCTCATAATCAAATTTTCGAATGTAAAAATTTGTAATCAGATGATTCATTATTCCAGTTGGTATGAAGTCATTGATGATCTTATTATACATTCGGAAATAAAAGGCATTGTCCATAAAAACAAATGCATCATGAAAAGTATAAACAACAATGTTGTCAAGTTTATACCAATTCAAAGTCTTGATATCATTTTTTATGCTTAAAAACATTGTGAATAGTTCGTCGACAATTAGTGCCATCTTAGCTGATGAATTCTGTGATTGTAATAGATATGCTGTTGTATATGCGTTTGAGGACATTCTAAATATTTTCGGCCTGGAAGGAAAATATTAGATTGCAATTCTGAAGATCAATTTTCATTAATATTTCATGCTTACCATACAGTAGATGTGCCTAAATTTTCTTCTGTAAATGAAGTGACATCCATAGCATAAATATTATAGCCTCTGTCAATCACATCCTCAATAGTTTTTGGTGGTGGATGTCTTGGTTCACTTGTCATAAATTCAAAGAATTTACTTTGGAAACAAGTTCGAAAAATCAAACAGAAATAAACAAAAATCAATAAAATGAATCTTGAAAAGTTCTTGTTTGGCAATCGTGTCTGGGAAATTCCAAAGAATATGCTAATGACATTCCAGATTGGTGTTTCGATTTTATGTCCATAAATGATGATTTGTGCGGATTTTGAGAGATTATTGATGACAAAAATCGACAAGAATGTTGACGAAAATGTAATCAACAAGAAAATCCACGTCAGTAAATCAAATGGTAAGAAGAACTTCTCATATGGCGTGTATTTTGGTGCAGGTGTCAAAAACAGATGGACATTCAAGTTAGCGACCACTTTTGATGTTGCTGTTACATAGCCAATTGCATCAATAGGTAAAATTTCAAAGAAAACATGAGGAAATTTAGTAGTTCCATTTAAAACAAACATTGGAAGGAACTCTTTATCTGAACGATTTATCCATCCTGTTTTCATTTCAACAGGCTGATATCCGACTGTATAGTTGTAGTATTTTGCAGCAATCTCAAAGAATAAAGGTGCGATTCCATGAATTTCCCATGTTTTAAAATTAGCAAAAGCAAATCCTGATAAATGAGTAACAGTTCTGTCTACCTGATCCGTTGGAACCATGAAGACTAATTCACATCCATGATAATCCAGAAACTTTTCACGATTTCGAAGTCTTTTGTTCCATTGCATTGTTGTTTTATTGAAGACGTTGATAATATAAACATGTGGATGGTCACATCCATGTGGACCAAACCACTCAACTGTCGATAAAACTATCGAATCAATCTCATCGGTGATGAAGTATGTGTATTGATAAAATGTAGCTTTAATTCTTGGAATTCTTATATTAAATGCATCAACTATCGAAAACTTTAATCGATGAAAAGTTAAGTCACGTGCAAAAACAAAGTACTTTATAGGTTGACTTAGATGTCGTCTTGGTGTGAAGGTTTTATCAACTAAAGGTAAATATTCCAAATAGTCTGTAAAAATAAATGTTGATCCTTCAAATATTCCTACTAGTTTTTGTTCCGCATAAAGAAAATATGAAAATTTTTCCTTAAAACCTGACAAGAATGAAGTAAGAACGTCCTGTATTAAATTTGACTGATTTGCAAGCTTTGTGATAGAAAAGTAAGTTTTTTCTCTCAGAAGAAATTTGTCAGTGATTTCGTGAAGAACTTTTGAAATTAAAGAACCATTAGACATTCCAGAAATTTGTGCATTAGACACGCATGGCGATCTTAAAATTGTTACTGTAAAAATCCATAAAAATGCAAACTTTAAATCCATCTTAAACAATCCTTTTATTGATTTGAATATTTAACAATGCGAAGTTTCAGAACTGAATTGAAATTTTTGTTTTCAAACTGGCTTGTTTTATTGGCTTTTAATTATTAATCAACAAAAGGCATTGTTCTTGGTTGCGTAGGCAAAAATACCAAACTACTTACATATTTGTAAAATATCAAAAACATTTGATTTAATAAATAATTAATGTACAGCTTAACATACATCAGAAGCTGATATAAAAATGTCAACAAGCTATTCAGCACTTTAATTCTCAAGAACAACAATTTTTGAAGTTTGGGACAAAAATTCTTAATCTTAATTTTCTAAATCTATCAACTCAATAACTTCAATTATTTCAGCTGAACCTAAATTATTCATATGTGCTGATACATCAAGTTGTGCTAGTTTTTTAATTCTAAACTTTGTTACCAATTCTGGATTGATTCCATTCATAATTTCATATGTTGTGATTTCATCGATGCAAACTTCATGTTCCAATTTTGGATTAATTGGGTGAACTGGTGCGTACGATTTGATCGGCTTCAACATCAAAGCTGCAATATGTTCTGCAATGAATCCAATGAAAGAAACTAAGCAAAACAAAAGCCAGATATTAAATCCAAACGCAAGATCTTCAACAGTCAATATTTTTGGTTCAACTTCAGGTTGGTCATATCCCCAAGGTTTTGTGTAGTAATTCTCAATCAGATGATTCATTATTCCAGTTGGTATTAAGTCATCGATGATTCTGTCAAACATTCTGAAATAAAAGCAACTATCTACGAAGAAAAAGGCGTCGTGGAATGAAAAGACAACATGGTCTTCTAGCTTAGTCCAATAATTTGTTCGTATATTAAATTTACTGTCTGTTAATCGTGTGGCAAATTCATCAACAATTAATGCCATTTTTGCTGATGAATTTTGTGATTGTTCCAAATATGCTATTCCGTATTCCTTCGGAGACATTAACGTAATATTTGGCCTTTAAAATAAGTCAGTTTTAAGTTTGAATTTTTAATAAAATGTTTTTTGCAGTGCTTACCATCCAATCAATCTTTTAGTCAAAGCTTCAAATGCATTAATAGTGGAAACACGATAGCCTCTATTAATAATTTCATCAATTGTTTTTGGTGGAGGTAGTCGTGGTTCACTTGTCATGAATTCAAAGAATTTACTTTGGAAACAAGTTCGAAAAATCAAGCAAAAATAAATGAAAATAATCAAAATAAATCTTGAAAAGTTTTTGTTTGGCAATTTCGTCTGTGAAATTCCAAAGAATATGCTGATAACATTCCAAATCGGTGTGACGACATTATGTCCATAAACCATTGTTTGAGTGGATTTTGAGAGATTATTGATGATCAGAATTGACAAAAAAGTTGACAGGAAAGTTACGATTGAAAAAATCCAAGTCAGCAAATCAAATGGCAAGAAAAACATCTCATACGGCGTGTACTTTTCAGTTAATGTCATGTAAACATAAAAATTCAGGTTTGCAACCACTTTTGAGGATGTAATTAAAGGACTCCATTTTTGTAAAGTAAAAATTTCAAAGAAAACGTGTGGATCTTTTGAAGTGCCATTTGTTTTCATTATATTTACTTTTCCTGCACAGTCATTCAGTCTATCTGTCAAAAAAGTTCTTGACATCTCAACAGGCTGAAAAGTGGCTTTAAAATTGTGATATTTTGAGCCGATTTCAAAAATAACCGGGCAAATGCCATAAATATCAAATTTTACTATTGATCTAAAAAATGAATTTTTGTCTCTTTTTACAATACTGAATCCAGAGACATGAGTGATTGACATATCATTATTTTGAATAGGTAACATCATAACTAGTTCACATCCATGATAATGCAGAAATTTTTCATGATTTTCAAGTTTTGTGTTCCATTTCATTGTCTTTTTGCTAAAAGAATTTATAAAATACACTTTGGGAATGTCACATCCATGAGGACCAAACCACTCAACAGTTGAAATAATTATTGAATCATCCTCATCAGTGACAAAGTATGAATATTGATAAAATGAACCATCAAATTTTGGAATTTTAAAGTCTGATTTATGAATCCTCATAAGTTTCATTTCTGCAAATGTTAAAAATCGAACAACAATGAAGTACTTTAAAGGATGATTATGATGCCGTCTTGGTCTATAAATATATTCTATTTCCTTAAGATATTCCAAAAAGTCCATAAAGATAAAAGCTGATCCAAAAAAATGTTTGTCTTTTGCATTGAGAATATAAGAATGTTTTTCCTTCATCCTAGACATGAATATAGATGAAACGTCAAGTAACTTTTCAGACTTAACTTCGTAGTTAACAATAGAAAAATCATTTTTTTGTTTTAGAAAAAATTCGTCAGCGATATCATGCAGCACATCAGCAAATAACGATTCATTAAATTTCTTCCAATTGCTTCTGCTGTATTCGCATCAGACTAATTGTAAAATAAAGATGACAAAAGATAAAACTTGAAATTTGTTTGATTTTTGATTCATATTTAAAAGTTAACTTTCAACTTCTAGAAGACTAGCGTCGAACTGACAGGGACAACTGAATCAAATCTATTGCTTTGATGAATTTTTTATTTGACTAATTAAATAATCAATAATAAAAACATGACATGTTTTTTTATAGTATAGAATTTATAGTATCATATGAAGTCGTTGACTATTAAGAAAACCTTTGTCATATTAATCGGGCATCAAGATACCAAATTTAAATTATGCCCCGATGTTTTTAAAAATCAAAAACATTTGATTGACTAATTATTTAATTTATAACATCATATTTGTCACAGTCGTAATAAATTTTACAGGATGACAAGAAAGTTCAATAACATCAAGTTTGTCGAGTTTTGGTTAAAAACTCTTAATGTAAATTTTCTAAATCTACCAACTTGATATCTTCACTTATTTTAGTTGCAACTAAATCATTTTTAACTTCAGCTTGTGCTTGTTTTTTAACTCTGAACTTTTCAATCAACTCTGGATTGATTCCTTTTACAATGTCATATGTTGTGATTTGACCGATACAAACTTCATCTTCCAATTTTGAATTAATTGGGTGAACTGGAGCGTACGATTCGATCGGCTTCAATACCAAAACTGCAATATGTTCTACAATGAATCCAATGAAAGAAATCAGACAAAATATAAGCCAGATAATAAATCCAAATGCAAGATCGTCGAGAGTCAAAACTTTTGGTTTAACTTCAGGTTGATCATATTCCCATGGTTTTGTGTAATTATTCTCAATCAGATGATTTATTATTCCAGTTGGTATCAAGTCATCGATGATCCTGTCAAACATTCTAAAGTAAAAGCATTCCTTGAAGAAGAAGAAGGTTTCATGAAATGCAAAGACGATAAAATCATCAAGCTTAGTCCAATTATTTGTTCTTCTGTTTAACTTTCTGTCTATAAATCTTGTAGCAAATTCATCAACAATTAATGCCATTTTTGCTGAAGAATTTTGTGACTGTTCCAAATAAGCTGCATTATATTCTTCCGCGGATAGTACAAAAATTTCTGGCCTTTTATAGACAAAGAAAAAAGAAAACAATCAAAAGATTATTTTTGTTTCAAAAAATTAATTCAAATGCAAGGAAGGACTTACCAGTTAATCAAGTAATTCCTCTTCGCGACAGGTAAGAAAGCTTCCATTGTATAAAGTTTGTATCCTTCATTAATAAGATCACCAAATGTTTTTGGCTGTGGATGTCTTGGCTCACTTGTCATGAATTCAAAGAATTTACTTTGGAAACAAGTTCGAAAAATCAAACAGAAATAAATGAAAATGATCAGAATGAATCTTGAAAAGTTCGTGTTTGGCAATTTTGTCTGTGAAATTCCGAAGAATATGCTGATGACGTTCCAAAATGGTGTGTCTACTTTGTGTCCATAAACCATAGTTTGAGTGGATTTTGACAGATTATTGATGATGAGAATTGACAAAATGGTTGACAGAAAAGTTATTAATGAAAAAATCCAAGTCATTAAATCAAATGGCAAGAAGAATATTTCATATGGCGTGTACTTCTCAGCTGGTGTAATAATTATATAAAAATTTAAGTTTACAACAATTTTTGATGAAATTAAATAAGGTGTTAATTGATGTAAAGTATAAATTTCAAAGTACACGTGAGGATTCTTTTTAACATCATTAATTTTTATAATACCAATATCATCTGTATATCCCATTCTTAACCAATCTTTCGGCATTACCACAGGTTGAAAACCGACTGTATAGTTATGATATTTTGCAGCTATGTCAAAAATGACTGGTGCAATGCCATGAATCTTAAATTTTTTTAAATCACTTGAAATTTCACTGAATCCAGAGAGATGAACAGCAATAATGCCACTCCGCCATTTAGGAAGAAGCATAACAAGTTCACAGCCATGATATTGCAGAAATTTTTCATGATTTTTAAGCTTTGAGTTCCATTGCATAGTTGTTTTGTTGAAGGTGTTGATAATATACACTTTTGGACGGTCACATCCGTGAGGACCAAACCACTCAACTGTTGATAAAATAATTGAATCGATCTCATCGGTAATGAAGTATGCGTATTGATAAAGAACTGCAAAAGTTCTTGGAATTTCTTTATAGAATTCAAAATTTGTCAATTGATTTAGACGACGATAATTTAAGTCATGTGCATAAATAAAGTACTTTATAGGCTGATGCTGATGTCTTATCAGCCTTATGTTGTCCTCAATTAATGGTAAATTTTCTAAAAAGTCGGTAAATATAAAAGCTGAACCGTAAAATATTCTAATTAATGCATTATCTCGAAATATATAATACGAATATTTTTCTTTAAATCCAGACAATAATCGAGTAAATAAATCCAAAATCAAATCTGACTGATTATTTACTTTTATTATAGAAAATTCAATTTTCTCGCTTAAGAAAAATTTATCAGCAATTTCACGAACAACTTTTGAGATCAGAGAAAAATTCGAAAGATTTATAGCATTTATGCTTCCCGCATTGTTTAGTTTAAGAATTACAAATAGAATTAAAATTAAATTAATATTCATTAAAATAAAACTCAAAATTTTTAAATCATTTTTCTTAAAATAAATTCGTTTCTTAACTCATCAGCTGACAGACCTAAACTAATGATTCTAATTGATATTTAAGGTTTGTCGAAAAGTTATTAATTATTTATGGTTAATTATTAATTTCTCTAACACTTCATAATTGTCATAATCAAAGGAACTGATAAAGACTGACAAGAAACATGTTCAAGAACATCCAATTTTTGGAACTCTTAATATTAATTTTCTAAATCTATCAACTCAATATCTTCAATTATTTGAGTTGTAACTAAGTCATTTGAAACTTCAGCTTGTGCTGGAACTCTTACTCTGAACTTTTCAATCAACTCTGGATTGATTCCTTTCATAATTTCATATGTTGTGATTCGATCAATGCAAACTTCATACTCCGCTCCTCGATTAATTAGATAAATTGCAGCGCATGATTTGATTGGCTTCAACACCAAAGCTGCAATATGTTCTGCAATGAATCCAATAATAGAAATCAGACAAAATAAAAGCCAGATATTAAATCCAAACGCAGGATCGTCGAGAGTTACCTCTTTAATCTTATCAACGCTTTGTAAATAAACGAATTTAATTTCTCCAATTATTTTCTGATTTTCAAATTTTTAAATCTGCTGGATGACTAAAACAATTCTAGTTCTTAAAACTTTATCCAGAAAGTCAAATCCTTGGCTTCTTTTAATTAGATCAATGATTAAATTTGTAAACTCTAGGTTCACTTGTTTAAATTGTTTCACGACTAAATTGATTTTGTTTCCATCATAATTAGTTGATATTCATAATCTGGTCACTTTCTAAATCTATTAATTCAATATCTTCATTTCCTTTAGCTACAATCAAGTCATTTGAAATATCGAATTGTTTTGATTTTTGAACTCTAAATTTTTCAACCAATTCCAGATTGATTCCATTCATAATTTCATAGGTTGATATTTCATCGATGAAAACTTCATCGTCATCTCCCTTTATGATTGGATGTACTTTTATATTCTTTAAACTCATTGTTTTCTTTTTTACAAAAGCCAGAGTAATTTCAGCAATGAACGAAATTATTGAAATTAAATAAAAACCAAGGGAAATATTAAATCCAAACGCAAGATCATCTAGACTAAGCACGTTTGGATCTTCATTAATTTGCACATATTTTGATTCGATCGTAAAATAATTTAAAACCAAATAATTCATAATTCCAGTTGGAATAAGATTGTTGATGATCTTGTCAAACATTCGAAAATAAAATGCATGTCCTAGGAATATGAAAGTATCAACAGATCTGTAAATAACAAAATCTTTAAGCTTGTTCCAACGAGTAACGTTCTTTAGATGTTTATCATAATAATTAATAAGGAATTGATCAACTACAAGTGCCAGTTTAGCTTCTGAATTTTGCGATTGGTATAAATATGCATTTCCATATATGTTTGGAGGCGCAATATAAACGCATGGCCTGTAAAATACAAAAGTCTTATTCAAAATTTACAGAAATTTAGAATTCTGAATAAAAAAACGAGCGGCAATAAAAAAATCGATAAATGATAAGAAAAAAAAAATAATAATTACAATTTTTCCAGGAGATTGAGGTTTTCAAAAACACCAATTGAAGCATTCAAACTGTAAACCGAATAGTTTTTCTCAATGAGATCATCAATTGTTTTGGGCGGTGGATGTCTTGGCTCACTTGTCATGAATTCGAAGAATTTACTTTGGAAACAAGTTCGGAAGATTAAGCAAAAGTAAATGAAAAGCATCAAAATGAATCTCGAAAAGTTCTTGTTTGGCAGTTTAGTTTGTGAAATTCCAAAAAATATGCTGATGACGTTCCAAAATGGTGTGTAGACTTTTTGTCCATAAACTAAACTTTGAGTAGATTTTGACAGATTATTGATAATGATAATTGACAAAAACGTTGACATAAATGTTATGAATAAAAAAATCCATGTTTGTAAATCAAATGGCAAGAAGAACTTCTCGTACGGTGTATACTTATCAGCAGGTGTCACAAAAATATAAACATTTAAATTAGTTACGACATTTGACATAACCAAATCTTTTTGTAGTGCATGCAATGATGATATTTCAAAATAAACATGTGGATCTTTGTCAGTGCCATTAATTCGAATTATGTGTACATTTTCGTCTCTATTATATCCAAGCCAAGCTCTTGGCATAGATGCTGGTTGATAACCAACTGTAAAGTTATGTTTTTTTGCAGCAATCTTAAAAATTTCTGGTGTAATTCCATAAATATCAAATCTTGTAATGTTGTTCCTTAAAATACTATAACCAGACACATGTGTGATCGAATCGTCTTCAAGTTGAGTTGGAAGCAGCATAACAAGTTCACATCCGTGGTATTGCAGATATTTTTCATGATTTTCAAGCTTTTTGTCCCATTTCATAGTCGTTTTGTTGAAAGTGTTGATAATGTATACATGTGGACGGTCACATCCATGAGGACTAAACCATTCAACTGTTGATAATATGATTGAATAATCCTCGTCGGTAATAAAATAAGCGTTTTGATATAATGAGCTATCAAATCTTGAAATTGGTAGCCTGTAATCCGGAATCCTCATTTGAGCTAGCTCATCAAAATACATAAATCGTATAAATACAAAGTATTTAATAGCTTGATTGCTAAGTCTTCTTGTTTTGTAGCCATATTCAAGATTGTAGAAAGTATCTAAAAACTCCACAAATATGAAAGCAGAACCATGAATTCTACTTATATAGATTTTTTCCCTAAACATAAAATATGAATGTTTTTCCTTTATTCCTGCCATGAACTTTTTCGAAACATCAGATAATAAAATGGATTCAACTTTGTAATTAAGGATTGAAAAATCATTTTTTTCTTTAATGAGAAACTCATCAGCAATTTCGAGAAGAATGTTTGAAATTAATGAGCTTTGAGAATATTCTTCTATATGAGAGATTTTCGAATTTATTGAAAATACATGAAATAGAATTAATATTAAGCTAGGATTCATTTTTTTAAAAGTTTCACTTTAGACAAAACAGCTACGACTAATTGTTTGAATTTATGCTTTCATTATTTTGAGGTTTCGTACACAAAGTAATTCATTAATAATTAATCCAATGTCAATTTAATAGCTTTTATAGAATGATTAAAATTACAAGAGCCTTAAGAAGAGGAACATACCAAGTCAATAATTCTTCATATTCTTCTAAAGGTGTTTCTTGATGTGATGACATATTGTTATTGCAATTTTATTGATTTTAAATTTTATATAATTAAATTATAAACACGAATTTTCATGATTCTTGTTTCAAACTCCTTAAATTAACCATATTCAAGTTCATCTAACCTATTAGGAATTTTTTGAATACTTTTAAGTATTTCTATCATCTTTGGAGGTAATTCTTCAATCACACTTATTTCACCATTAATTCCATTTTTATTCAAATATTTTTTTGCCTTGAACTTTTGAATCAATTCGGGTTTCAATAAAGTGTAACTTATATTTTCAGATTTGTCATCAAATGAACTGATTTGAATCCGCTTATTAAATCTTATCTTAACAAAATTGATTATTATTTCAAAAAGAAATTCAAATACTGAAATTAAGCAAGCACAAAGCCATATATTAAATCCAAAAGCTAAATCATCAAGACTTAAAATTTTAGGGTTTTCTTCAGTTGGAAAAAATTTCAATTTTCTTGTATAAAAGTTTTCAATAAGATGATTCATGATTCCAGTTGGTATTAAATCATTGATGATCTTGTCAAACATTCGAAAATAAAATGTGAATCCGAGGAACATAAAAACATCATGTGATGTATAAATAACGTTTTTTAACTTATTCCAATTGTGAGTCCTTTTCTTCATTTTTAAGTCAAGATAATTTAGATAAAATTCGTCTACTGTAAGTGCCATTTTGATTGAAGAATTTTCATATTGAGTTAGAAGTGCATTTAAGTAGTCTGCAGGCATCATATCGTATACTTTTGGCCTGTTGAAATTTACATTTTAACTAAGTTACTGGACAAGCTTAATTAAATCTTAAAAATAAACATAGTTTGAAATATACAAACCATTTTTCCGTCCTGTATTTACTATCTGAAACCTCCTTATTTATCGCCATACTGTAAAGTTTATAATCTCTTTCAATTAAGTCTGAAATCGTTTTTGGTGGTGCTCGTCTTGGCTCACTTGTTAAAAACTCAAAGAATTTACTTTGGAAGCAAGTTCGGAAAATCAAGCAAAAATAAATAAAGATGATCAAAATTAATCTTGAGAAGTTCTTGTTTGGCAATTTTGTCTGTGAAATTCCAAAGAATATGCTGATGACGTTCCAAAATGGCGTGTCTACTTTGTGTCCATAAACAATAGATTGTGTTGATTTTGAGAGATTATTGATAATAATAATAATTAAAAATGTAGCAATAAAGGTGATGAGTACAAAAACCCAAGTTGGCAAATCAAATGGCAAGAAAAACTTCTCATAAGGTGAATACTTTTCGGCTGGAGTTACAAATACTTCAATTTTTAAGTTAGATAAAACTTTTGAAAAAATTATATCTTTTTTTGTTTGCTGCATTGGTGATATTTCGAAATAAATGTGTGGACGCTTTTCAGTGCCATTTATTAAAATTGTTTGAACATTTTCCGGATCAACACTTCTTAACCAACCCCAATTCAAGTATCCAAGTTGATAATTACTTGTAAAGTTATGACGATCTGCTGCAATTTCGAAAATTACTGGTGTTATGCCATAAACTTGTAACTTTGTTTGATTTTTATTGAACCAACCAAAGCCAGACGCATGAATAAGGAAACGATCGTTAAACAGAACAGGGAGTAGCATAACTAATTCACATCCATGATATTGAAGAAACTTTTCATGATTTTCAAGTTTGGAATTCCATTCCATAGTTCTTTTATTAAAGAAGTTAATCATATTAACATTTGGACTGTCACATCCATCTGTACTGAACCATTCGACTGTTGATAAGCCAACCAAATATTTATCATTCGTGATAAAATACGTGTATTGATAAATTAAAGCATCTAATGTTGGGATTTTGTCGTTAAATTCTTTAATTGGTAAAGTTTGCAATTTATAAAATGATAAATGAGGAACAAAAACAAATATTTTAATTGGATTATTAAGATATCTTCTTAATATGTTTAAATATTCCAGCAAATAAAATTGTTCTAAAATTTCAAGAAATATGAATGCTGATCCTATATGAATAGATTTGACTGCTTTCTTGGATTTAAGAAAATACGCATGTTTTTCATTAAACTTTGACATGAAATGTTTTGAAACTTCTGATAAGAATGGTGTCCAAACATCAAAGTTGATTATTGAGAAATCATTATTTTCTTTTATTAGAAACTCATCAGCAATGTCGTGAAGAACTTTTGAAATTAATGAAATGTCTTGCTCCTCAACAAGATAATACATACAAAGATTAAATTGCAATTGTAATAAAACTAAGAATATGATCCAAGGAATTTTGAATTGAAAAACTTTCATTTCTGAATATTTCTTTATAAATTATTGTTTACTGGTCTGAATGAGTAGCTTCTATTGACTAAATGAATCTTTTTGCTTGCTTTTGTTTAATAACTTTTAATTTTGAAAATGATTTGTTCATTAAAGCATTAGTAATTAATAAATGTATTTATTCATTTAACTTGTTTTAGAAAATCTTTTTTGAGATTGTAATATTCTTGATGTTAACTTAAACATTCAAACATATGTGATTCTTCACACAATTTTCTAAATGATCTTTTTACGTCTGCAACAAAACTTTTGATTATTATTTAAATACATTGACTTAAAAGCTGAATGTTTATTCCAATCAATATTTCTGATAATGAAAAATAAAGAGAAAAAGCATTGCATGAGTCGCAAATGATGTATCATCGAACTTAAAACAATATTTTTTGAAATGAAGCACACATGACAACAATGAATTGATATTTAGAATCAAAACTTCTTAAATCAAATTTCTAAATTTATTATCTCAATATCTTCATTTGTTTCAGCTTGAGTTGAGTCATTTCCAATATCAACTTGAGTTAATTTTGAAATTCTAAAATGTTTGACCAATTCTTGATTGATTCCGTTCAGAATTTCATAGGTTGTGATTTGATCAATGCAAATTTCATTCTCAGCTATCTGATTGAGTGGATGTACTTTGTTATTGATTAAACATAATCTTATCTTTGTAATTGTATTTTTAACAAAAATTACAGCATATTCAGCAATAAATGAAATTATGGAAATTACACAAAAACCAAACCAAATATTAAATCCAAATGCAAGTTCTTCGAGAGTCAACATTTGTGGTTTTCCTTTAATTTCCTCATATTTCAATTCTCTTGAATAATGGTTTTCAATTAAATGATTCATAATTCCAGTTGGTATGAGATTATCGATGACTTTGTCGTACATTCGAAAGTAGAACGAAGTTCCATAAAAAATAAATAAATCATAGAATGTAAAGATTACAGTATTTTCTAACTTATTCCATGTTTGAGATCTTCTCTTAAGCTGTTTATCCAAAAAGTTTATGAAAAATTGATCAACAACAAGTGCAAATTTTGCTGTTGAATTTTGGGATTGTGATAAATATGCGTAGTTGAACTGATTTGGAGACATTTCAAAAACTGGCCTGCAAAATATTCGAACTTAATTAAATACAAATTTCAAATAGAATAAAACCTCGAACTTCGACTTACCATTCATTCAATTTTAATCCATCGTGTAAAATATATTTAGATAAATTCATAATATAGACTAAATAAACTTTCTCAATGATATCATCAATGGATTTTGGTGGTGGTCGTCTTGGTTCACTTGTCATAAACTCAAAGAATTTACTTTGGAAGCAAGTTCGGAAGATCAAGCAAAAATAAATAAAAATCAATAAAATAAATCTTGAAAAGTTCTTGTTCGGCAATCTTATCAATGAAATTCCAAAGAATATGCTGATGACGTTCCAAATCGGTGTCTCTACTTTGTGTCCATAAACAATAGTTTGTGTTGATTTTGGGAGATTATTGATAATAATAATAATTAAAAATGTAGCAATAAAAGTTATCAGGACAAAGGTCCAAGTTAGTAAATCAAATGGCAAGAATAACTTTTCATACGGAGTGTACTTTTCAGCAGGTGTGACAAACACATGAACATCAAAATTTTTTACAATCTTTGTTGAAGTTAATTCATTATGTAATGCATGCAAAGTTGATATTTCAAAAAACACGTGAGGATCTTTTAAAGTGCCATTGATTCTAATTAATTGGACTTCTCCAAGGATGTTTTGTCTTAACCAAGCTGATGGCATCGACGCAGGTTGATAACCAGCTTTATAATTATGTTTTTTTGCAGCAATCTTAAAAATTTCTGGTGTAATTCCATAAATATCAAAACTTTTAACATTGTCTCTAATTATACTGAAGCCAGACAAATGTGTCATTGAATTGTCTTCAAAATGGGTAGGAAGTAGCATGACCAGCTCACATCCATGATAATTCATAAACTTTTCATGGTTTTCAAGCTTTTTGTCCCATCGTAAAGTCGTTTTGTAAAATTTATTGATAATGTATACATGTGGACGATCACATCCATGAGGACCAAACCATTCGATTGTTGATAAAATTATTGAATCATCCTCGTCGGTAATGAAATAAGTGTATTGATATAAAAAAGTTTTAAAACTCGAAATTTTTCGATTAAAAAATGGAATACTCAAACGTTTTAATTCATCAAAATATAAAAAGCGTATAAATGCAAAATACTTCAAAGGATGATTATGATGTCGCCTAGGAATAAAGCCAAAATTCATTTCATAGAAAGTATGTAAAAATTCCACAAATATAAAAGCAGAGCCATTAATTATACTTTTATAGTTTTTATCTTTATACAAAAAATATGAATGTTTTTCTTTCATATCTGACATGAATTTTGTGGATACATCTCTTAGAAGCAATGAATTAACTTGATAGTTAATGATTGAAAATTCATTATTTTCTTTAAGAATGAATTCGTCAGCGATTTCGTGAAGAATTTTGGATATTGTAGGTGCAATTGACTAAGTATTTACATAAATTATTAAGCAGAATATTTGAAAAATTAGAATTGCAATTTTTAATTTTCTTTTCATTTTTTTTTACTGAACAAAATCAAATATGTTTCTGAACTTGACGAACACAATGAATACACTGAAGAGACTTAATAAGCAAATATTCAAGTAATTAAAAATAAATTATTTATTTGAATTGATTTATTATAACAAGTTTAAATCTTTTAATTAGATTTTTCAACTTATTTAACACTTATCTATACCATTCACGACATTCGCTTGTACTTGTTTTCTTACTCTGAATTTTCCAATCAATTGTGGATTTACTTTATTCGTAATTTCGTACGTTGTAACTTGATCTATACAAATTTCATCTTTAGATTCTAGATTGATAGGATGTACTTTTGCAAATGATTTCATTTGTCTACTTTTCATTGCTGAAACTTTTTCTACAATAAATCCAAAAACAGAAACTAGACATGCGCAAAGCCAAATATTAAATCCAAATGCAAGATCATCAAGACTTAGAATTTCTGGTTTCATTTGGATTGTTTCGAATTTTAATTTTTTTATATAATAATTTTCAATCAAATGATTCATAATTCCAGTTGGTATAAACCGATCAATAATTTTGTCAAGCATTCGTACATAAAAAGTATTACCAATAAAAACGAAAGAATCGTGAAATGAATAGACAACAGTGTCTTTCAATTGATTCCAATTTTGTGTCATGTTTTGAAATTTTACGCTTGAAAACATCGTGAAAAATTCATCCACAACAAGTGCTATTTTTGCTGATGAATTTTGTGACTGTAAATTATATGCCTTTTCATATGAATTCGGAGACATTAAAAGGATCAGTGGCCTGTGAAAATATTTGATGATTTTAGTCCATATCTAGCACATATTTAAGCAAATATATTTACCATTTAGTCATTCTATCTTTATTCGTAACGAGATATTTCATTTCGTCCATAGCGTAGACTGTATAATTCTTTTCTATAACATCCTCAATAGTCTTCGGCGGTGGTTCTCGTGGCTCACTTGTCATGAATTCAAAACATTTACTTTGAAAACAAGTTCGGAAGATTAAGCAAAAGTAAATGAAAAGCATCAAAATGAATCTTGAAAAGTTCTTGTTTGGCAGTTTTGTCTGTGAAATTCCAAAGAATATGCTGATGACGTTCCATATTGGTGTGTCAACTTTATGGCCATAAACTATGCTTTGAGTAGATTTTGGAAGATTATTGATAACTAGAATCGACAGAAATGTTGCTAGAAAAGTTAAGATTGAAAAAATCCAAGTCGATGAATCAAATGGCAAGAGAAGCTTTTCATATGGTGTATACTTTTCAGCTGGAGTCACAAAAATATTAACATTTAAGTTAGCCACAACTTTTGATATTGTAAGTTCATAATTCTTTTTTTGTAAAGTTGATATTTCAAAATAAACATGTGGATCCTTTACAGTGTCATTTATTTGAATCAATGGGACTCCATCTTCTCTTGTTTTTGTTAGCCACGATGATGGCATAGAAGCAGGCTGATATGCAAAAGTATAATTATGATATTTTGCAGCAATCTCAAAAATGACAGGTGAAATGCCATGAACCTTAAAGTTTTTTAAATTGCCTGCAACAATAGCAAATCCAGATACATGAGTAATAGCATTAGATTCTTGTTGAACTGGAAGCAGCATAACAAGTTCACATCCGTAGTATTCGAGATATTTTTCATGATTTTGAAGCTTTGATTTCCATTGCATTGTTGTTTTGTTGAAGATGTTGATAATGTATACTTTTGGACGGTCACATCCATGAGGACCAAACCATTCAACGGTCGATAAAATAATTGAATCAATCTCATCTGTAATGAAGTAAGTGTACTGAAAAACTAGCCCATCACGCCTTGGAATCTTGTCATTAAACACAGAATTCCTTAAAAGTTTCAAATTATCAAAAGTTAAGTAACGTACAAATGCAAAATATTTAATTGCAAGATTATGACGTCATCTTGGTCTATAACATTGTTCAATTTCGTTAAAATATTCAAAAAAGTCCATAAATATGAAAGCTGAACCTCTCAATAGTGATCTATAATTCCTTTCTGGATAAAGAAAATATGAATGTTTTTCTTTGAACTCTTTCATGAAATTAGTAGACACATCAGTTAGCAGATCTGACTGAACTTTGTAATTTATGATTGAAAAATCGTTTTTTTCATTCAACAGGAATTCATCAGCAATTTCGTGGAGAACTTTTGAGATCATTAAATCATTTGGGATAGGTGTAATTATAGAACTGGATAATATTTGAGTAATCAAACTTGTAAAATAAACTATGCTCTTAATTTTCATTCTTGAGAGTTTGGATTTATTTCTCAACTTGACGGAAACAATTAAAACACTGAAAGCACTGATATTTAATAAAAGGTCCTTTTATAATACCACAAATACTTGTTCTTATTATCATGAAATTAATAATTAAATTCAGTTTATGATTATGATACATCGAACATTACTTTTGGGTTGGTTGAACATTAAATGACACCCCAAATCTCTTTTCCAAGAACTTTTTACGTAGGCTTTTTACTTTTCCTTAGTAAGTATGGGATGTTTAATTTTCTGATTTTTATCTTAACATTTATATGTAGCAAAGTATCTGTCTATTTATTATTCTATGTTCTTAATTATTTACACCTTAAATTAGGCGTAAAGCTAGGAAGGAATTTTAAGGTTTAGTAATAATTAAATCCTTAATTTTCTATGCTTCAACCCAGAAAATCATGAGTCGCAACGTGTGATGTCTTTCAACACATAATTAATGCTTTTTTTATCGAAATCTAGTCTAGTGGAGTCAATAGAATGTAAATTAATTTTTACTAAAGTCATGAACTTGATGCAGACACGAAAGTCAATAAACTTTTCAATTTATTGAGCTTGTAAGTTATCCCAAAGAAAAAAAAAATATCACGACATTAAAATTTGCACTTGACATTAAATATCCAACGTCAACTATCTTGACTTCCTCTGAAAGAGAAATTTTCAGCAAAAACAAAAGTTTGCGAAACGAATGCGACACCAAAAATTCATTATCAAGATCATAAAATCGATTTATATAAATTTTATTTGCATTTTATTCCCGGCCCAAGCGGATATATTTGTTGACTAATTCCTCTACACTTGGACACAACATGCTGAAAACTTTTATTTTTATCTTTCACACAAACTTTAATCATATTTCGATGATTGAGCATTTAAATCTCATTTCTGGTATCAAATTTGCTTAGAAAATCGATCGATATAAACTTTTTTATGGTGCAGGATGTTGTTGCTTGTCAATTTTTTATTTTGAATTTTAAATCTGTTTTTTTCGTTTTCGTGTATGTGCAAAAAGTACGATCACAGAAACAAAGAAACACGAAAAAATTGCTTATTCAGTTGAAATTGAAAGTCATTTTATGTCTTGTTGATTAATTAACTTTGATTTTTCTTTAAATCCAATTTGGTGCTGGGGATGGGACACTTGAAGATTTTTATAAATCAAAATTTAACCTTTTTAATATTACGTTTAAGAATTTTTAAATTTGATATCTTTTTATTGAAATTTTTGCAATTTTTTCACTTTTTCAATTCTTAATAGTTGAAATTTCAAAGTTAAATTTAATATTTTGAATTGTCACTATCAAAATTGTCAATTCCCATCCCCAGCACCTCACAATATTGCCACTTGCTGTCTTATTATCCGCCGGCTACTATATTAATATTATTACTTTATAAATATATAGGAGCAAGGCGCAATAATCTTAGATGTGAATTAATTATTACGATAAATTTAGCAAGTAAAGCTTTAAAGCAGAAACAACAAAAACACAGAATCAAGTAGAAATACACATGAATGAATAAAGTCTACCGCTACTTAAGATTGATAATAATTTAGATTTATATCGCTACACGGTACGAAACATAATTTAATTTAATATTTATGTTCCAACTTGTTACTCTTGCTTCGATTTATTGTAAATATATTTCTTTTCAACTGCTGCTGCTTACTTTTATTCTCAAAAAAAACTTGTCACATTAAATTATTCATTTTGAGACTCACAAAAAGAAAGAAAACAATTTTCATTTTGAATGTGTCGTGTTTCTGAGTTGACGGAATGTGACAAGTGAAAAAATGAGTTGTGGACTTCAAAGTGAAACGGAAAGTTGACGACATATTAAGATGGATTATTAAATTTTAAGCGTATTACTTCATTAAGTTGGATTTAAGTCAAGAGGATAATTTTTGTAAGATTTCTATAAAGACGAAAGTTGATAAATTGTGGATTCATATTTGAATTTTTTAACATTATTATTCTGTCTTTATTTAATTTCATAATTTTATAATCCACCAAGTCTAATCTCTAGCAATACCACATAGCCAAATGTCTATCCACTATCAATTATCATGTCAAAACACCAAAAAACCCGGTAGTAAAAATTAGTCAAACAAATGTCAACTTTTTAATTTCCAATCCAAAACGAGTTAAACGATTAAAATATCTCCATAAAAATGAATAAAAATAATTAAAAACTATTTTCTATAGATTTTTGACCTTTCACAACAGCAGACCCCACAAGATGTAATCTAGCAAAAAGTCATTAAGCCTCAATTCTCTCATTTATTAAAGTGATTTTGTGACACAACTTCATCAGCAAATATTCTCTGACGCTTGAGGAAACGAGCAGCACATTAAAGTGTAAACAATTCATCATCTCCTCCATGTCATGCTTCAATTAATTTTCGCAAATTTTTTTCTCATCGGCAAAAAAAGTAATTTTTAATTTTCTCATCACGATTGCATCATAGACGCAACCACAAAGGTCTAAAAGTTGAAATTTCTCACATTTTCCAAAATAAAAATATTTTCTCATAAATTGATTTTTTAATTTAATTAACTTGAATATTGACTTTATCTCATCTTTAAAATAAAAAAAAAAAAAAATACTTTATGATATACGCCGATCGGAAGAGTGATTAAATTGAGACGATAAATGCAACAGTTAATGGCGATCATGACAGTAAAATAAATCTATTCACACCAGACAATTAAGCGTCAATCAAATATATAAAATTTATTTTTTTGAAAGTGCGGCATCAATCAAAAGAAAGACAGAAGAGATGTGATGAGAGACTTTTCATTCGTATTCATTATCAATTATGTTTGTTGTGCTGTACAGCATTTGAGATTGAAAGTTTACTCATCAGAAGCGTTTAGATTTTCTTGGAGGAAGTGGGCATGAAATTTTCAATCAATTTTTAAGAATTTTCATGAGAATTTGAGGTTAAGAATTTTAGAATTGAGGAAAGTTGATAGAAACTTGAATTAGTTTCATCAAAATCCACAAATAAAGCTGCACAAATAAAAAAAACTCTCACGTCCATGCGTAATCCAAGATGTGAGATGCTTTTAAAAGCGTCAAATTGAAAACGATCATTCACCGGAACAAATTTATGTTTCACATACATTAACACATGATAAAACTGTGATATTTAATGCATAACATAATGAAACTTCGTCACGATAATGATTGGCGGTGAGCCATCTGTATGATTATGAAATTAACGCATCTCGTAGATTCTTTTTATGTTTCAGTTGTTGAACTTTCTTCTATATTCAAATTTTTTCATAGATATTGACACTTTTGACGAAGAAATTTTATTTAAGGTAGGAAAAAAAAAGCTTTCTAAATGTTAAGTATTGATAGATAAATATGCTGACAACAAAAACTTAAGAAATCCAATTTATTTATGAATCCATATGTCCAATTGTATGATGAAGAAAGCTATAGTAATAATAATCGATAATCAGCACTTATTTATTTTCAGTTGCTTTTAAATCGAAAATAACAACAACTGCATTAGAGGCTCAGTACAGATTTGATCGAGTGTTTGTTAGATATCCGCCAAGCACCAATTCAGTTCCAGACTCTTTGTACTGACTCAATCTCAAAATTCAGGTTAAATTGTTAATGAACCTAGTACCTTGGTCCACACATCATGTTTCAAAGACTCCACACTTGCTAGTAAAATCTCATAAAACTCATTGTTATTACTATGTGTAACAGATCCAGTATTTGAGATAGATATTTGCTTACATACTTATCTCTCGACAACTTTCAATGTTACTTAGTTCGATATGTTAAAATCTATTCAGGAAGGTGTGACGATTGAGTCAATCAATTGATTGAGCTAGCTAGGAATTTACGAATGTACTTAAAAGATTTGCGGCAAAGAAAATGTGTCAATTTTCTCTACATTTACATCTTACTGGTAATGCTGCGACTCATAACGGATTTATTAGATTTTATGACTCTTTTGAAGATTATTTTTTAAGGGCTTGAGCCGTTGATGACCATTGTAAGTGATGACGAAACCTCATTACATTTAATTTATTTATTCAGTGAAGATGCAGATGACATCAATAGATTTGTAAACAAAAAGAGAGTATCTTGCTCTTAAAATTACGAAACTCGTGCTCAATTGCAAAACTTCTTGTTAAAGGGACAGAAAAAAAATATTTGTTTTTTGTTTCGAAATATTTTGGATATTTTTGTGAAATGTAACAGATTCTTTACTAAAATATATTTGTATTTTTTGAAATAAAGCAGAAAAGTTTTTACGGAAAGCAATAAATCTTCTGAACAGATAGAAAATATGTAAAATTTATTTCACCATTCAGAAAAAAAAAAACATTTTAAGTGCGCAATCTTTTACTTGTTGG